GTGTGTGTGTGTGTGTGTGTGTGTGTGTGTGTGTGTGTGTGTTACTTTCAAGTCTTAGGAAAGAATGTCTCTCTCATTTTTTGGAAGAGAATCTACAGACTTAGGTTCTATCTTATTACAAACTAAGCAATCATATTGTTAATCAGATTTTAAAATGTTTTCATTAGCATATACTACCTATATATAATTTGTTTCATTATGAAATTTTCATATGGGTACATAATATATTTCAATTACATTCTCCCCTGTTTATCTTTCTTGCCTTTTTCCTCTCACCCTAACTCCCTTATACTCCCTCTTCCTAACTAGCTCCCCTTCTAATTTCATGTGTCTGTCCCTTTTTTGCTTATTTTCAATGATTTAGTGGACCGTGCACTTTATCAGTGGCGATACCACTGAAGACAATGTCTCTCCCTCCCTGACTACTGATAACTGCTTATAAATTCTCAAGTAAGCATGGGGCCCCGTTAGTCCCTCCCACAACACAATTCTGGCAGGCTCAATGTAGTCCAGCTCTTGTGTAAGTAATCACACCTGCTATGAGATTAAGAGTACAACAGCCCTGTCACGCCTGGATGCCAGTGTCCCACACCCTTCAGCTCCTTTCTCCAGCTCGTACACTCCTTCTGCCCCATCTTCTATAATATGAACAAAAATTTTTATACTTTCTTCCCATCATTGAGAATAACAATTTACCCACCCCTCTCTTTGTTTTTTGTTTTGTTTTGAGATAGGCTCTAGCTGTCCTGGAAACGACTATGTAGACCAGGCTGACTTTAAACTCACAAGAGATCCATCCACCTCTGCCTTCCAAATGCTGGGATTAATATGGGTACATAATATTACATTCGCTACCACACCTGGTATATATCTCCCTTGAAATTCCATGAAAAGCTTGGGTAAAATGTGTGTTATTTTCCATATTGTTGGACTGAGGAAAACTGCTCAATGGACAGAGTGATGGCCATGCAAGTGTGAGGACCACAATCTGTACCCCCAGCACCTCTAACTAAAAAAAAAAGTGGGAGCCAGTGGTGGTAATGCACACCTTTAATTTCAGCACTTAGGAGACAGAGGCAGGCAGATCTCTGAGTTTGAGGCCAGCCTGGTCTACCGAACAAGTACCAATACAGCCATGGCTACAAAGAGAAACCCTGTCTCAAAAAAACCACACATACACACACTCAAAAAAAAAAAAAGAAAGAAAGAGAAGAGGAGGGGGAAGAGGAGGAAGAAGATGATGATGAAAAAGAAGAAGGAAGAGAGAAGAAGGGAGAAGAAAGAAGGAGGAGGAGGAGGAAAAAGAAGGAAGAAGAAAAAAAGAGAAGAAAGGCTGGGAGAGTGTAGTTACCCTTTGTAATCCCAGCATCTGGGAAGCAGAAGTGGGAGAGTCCCTACAATAAACTAGGTAGGTAGATTAGCTAGACTTGGTGAATCCTGGGTTCAGAGAGACCTTACCTCAATAAAACAGTGGAGAACAGCTGAGGAAGGTCAACTTCAGGCCTACATATACTTTCAACACACATACAGACACACACGCCAGCAATTAAGCATACCTTCCTGTGCACACAAACATGCACACATATATGCATACAGACATGTACATCACACACAATGCACAAGTAAAAAAGCATAGTACTTACCACACTGTGATTATCTGTCTCCTCTAAAATAGACACATCAAATGTGATGCTGATTTAAGGGGAAATGTTTGAGAAAGGAGGACCAATCAAGCAAGAGCAAACAAAACCAAGATGAAAACAAATTATTTCTCCTGTCATCTCTGTAGATATGCTTGCAATTCTAAAAAGGCAATTTTTACTAAAACTTGAGATTATTTAAATGTATATAAACTGAAAAACAGTTAGACCACTGCATTGTAAGTACCGTTCCTGACTTCAAATGTGTGTGAGCAGAGAACTCCTGCCCCAACAGCTGCTCATCACCAGGAGGAAGTTAGGTGAGTTTTCCAAGCAGAACATGCTGGTCCCAGGAGAAATACACAGCTTCAAAGAAGGGTTAGAAAAAGTGTGCACTAATGGATGGATCTAGATAACACCATATTGAGTGAGGTAACCCAGACCCAGAAAGACAAATATAGCATGTACTCACTCATAAGTGGCTTTTAGACATAAAGCAAAGAAAAACCAGCCTACAGGACACAGCCCCAGAGAAACTAGACAACAAAGAGAACCCTAAATAGAGAACATACATGGATCTACTACATAGGAACGTGAAAAAAAACAAGATCTCCTGAGTAAACTGGGAGTTTGGGGCTCACAGGAGAGAGTAAAAGGGGAGAGGAAAGGAAGAGAGGGGAGAAAAATGTATAGCTCAATAAAAATAAAAAAAGGAAAAAGAAAAAGCGTGTATTTGCTTCTCATGTGCTGTAAGAGAATGGTTGCTCACTGTGCCAGGATCTGAGCGAAAGCACATAAAAACTCACATATCAACTTACTAGGTGGGCAATGAACATAAGTACTTTAACAAATAATTCATCATATGGTAATTCTGAGATATTCACCACCATAGTGGTAATAATACACACACATAACTAATAAAAATAGGCCATAGAGATTTTAAGTAGCTTGTTCAAAGTAAGACAGTAAATTAGTATCTGTGCCTATTTCAAATGTGGGTCTAATTTCAGAGCATAAACAGATTAGCATTAGTGCAGATTCACACCAGGGAGAACAGATCAATTTTGATGAAAAGTTTGGCTGAACATCCAAATATTTTTAATAGGGTATAAATACAATTTTTATCAACGAAGATCTTCCTTAAGAATGGAAAGTTAGGGCTGTGGAGTTGGCTCAGTAGGAAATGTCTTTTGCCACCAAGCCTAAAGACCTGAGTTTGATCCCTGGGGCCACAAGGTGAAAGGAGAATAAAGACTCCTAAAAATTGTTCTCTGGCCTCCTTATATGTGTGTGGCATAATTTACTTATTTAGTTTTTAGAGACGGGGTTTCTCTGTAGCCTTGGAGCCTGTCCTGGAGCTGGCTTTGTAGACTAGGCTGGTCTCAAACTCAAAGAGATTCTCCTGTCTCTGTCTCCCGAGAACTGGGATTAAAGGTGTACTCCACCACTGCCTGGCAAATAAGTGTAATTTTAAAAAATTACAGACAATAGGAAGCTAGTAACACCAGGGTTATAGGATAAAAGATCATGGAATAAAGACAGATGTGTTCTTTCTCTCTTCTTTGAGACAGGGTCGCTTATAGCCCTCGCTGGCCTGGAACTCTCCATGCAGACCATGCTGGCCTCAAACTCATAGATCCTTGGCTTTGCCTCCTGAATGCTGGGATTAAAGGTGTGCACTACCATCCCCAGATCCCGCTCTTACTTTTCTTGTTGCTATGATTAAATACCTTAATAAAAACAACAGAATGGGGGAAAGTTTATTTGGCTCACAGTTCAGGGTACAATCTATCATGGCAGGGAATGAAAGATGGCAGATGCTGAAAGTGGCTGGTCACACAGCATCCAGTCTGGAGGTGGGACACTATGAACACTGGTGCTCACCTTACCTTCTCTCCTATAGAGTCCAGGATTCCTGCCCACAGAATGGTACCATTCTCAGTGACAGGCTCTTCCTACCTGACCGTTATCCAAGATAATCCCTACAAGCCTGCCAACACCAGTCTGCCAGGTGATTCTACAGCTCATCAAACTGACAACTGAAATTAGTCATCATCACACATTTACCTGTGAATTACTAACATTAACATCTGTTTTGTTTGTTTGTTTTTTGAGACAGGGTCTCAACTGAGTAAGTGGCCTGGAACTTGCTATATAAACCATCCTGGGCTCCAATTCAGAGATCTGACTACCTCTGCCTCCCAAGTGCCAGCACTTGGGATTAAAAGTGTACGCCAACACTGCTCAGGTCCTAGGTGACATTCTTGTTTACATCCACCAATAAACAGTGACATCTTGTTAACATCTGTCTATGAATGGTGACACCTTGTTCACAGGTATCTCTGAATGCTAACATTTTATTATTAATAAATGTTATTATTAATAATAGATAATATTAACCATTATCTATTAATAGTGATACTTTACAGTCTATAGATAGTGACATCTTGCTAACAGATATCTATGAATGGTGACACTTTGTTAACATCTAAGTCATATATACACAGACACAAGTATGCCATGTTTCAGGTGAGCCTTACTAACTGTGGTGGTTTGAAAGAACATGGCCCCAAAAGGCAGTAGCACTATTAGAAGTGTGTCACTATGTGGGCCAGCTTTGAAGTCTTTTCCTCAAGCTTCACTCAGTGTGACAGTCAGTCAACTTCCTGTTGCCTCTAAGTTTAGATGTAGAACTCTCAGCTCCAGCATCACATCTATCTGCCTGCATGTCACCATGCTCTCCATCCTGGTAATGAACTGAACCTCTGAAACTGTAAGCAAGCCACCTCAATTACATGTTTTTATTTTAGGAGTTGTCATGGTCATGGTATCTCTTTACAGCAATAAAAACCCCTAAGACACTGACCTATTACAATAGTAGAAGACTACCTGCACTAAGCCCCACTCCTAGTCACTCTGAGGCCCAGATTTGAAACGGACACTAGTCAAGTTCCCACACCTTCACTAAGCAGTCTTTTTCCACCTCTTTGCCACATTAAAAAAGAAAGAAAGAAAGAAAGAAAGAAAGAAAAGAAAAGAAACTGATGCCACGTATTACCATTTCTCAGATTAAAACATTAGTTTCTAACCAGCATATCATAAAATACACTCATCACCCAGATTCCATGCTAATTTATCTAAGTATCCAGTTATAAAAACTAATGCTATCATTAAAATAACTTTAAACATTCCACAATGTATTTGAGGGTTTTCCTCTCGAAAACCAGTTTTCATTTGAGAGTTTTCAAAGTTAAAAGTAGCAGTTAGAGTACTTTAAGTTTGCAACTGTCACAATGACCTTGAAAAGTAAATTTACAGCAAACATTTGTAAAAAGGAGAATGGAGGGAAAATGACATTACCACTTCCTGAGATGCATATTGAGGGTCCTCCGGGTTGACTGACCAATAGCAGTAATCAAAACCAAACGCTACAACCTTCTCCCGGGTGTCTCCAGACCTCTCTGGTCGACTGTTCACCTAAAATTAAACACAGCATCCAGTGTCTTTCCTGTCATATCATTGGAATCTGGACAGTGGCCCTTAATTATGCTCTCTGTGATTACAGAGACCTGGACTATCACTATAATGTTTACGACAGCCACAAAAGAAGAGAGGTAACATCTATCTCCATCTCACTAGGAACAAAGAAAGACCCAGGAACTAAATATGCCCATGACACAAGCCTGTGTCTGCGCACAAACACATGAACTATAGGACAGCGCAGGAGAAAAAGGCTCTTTTACAGGACTTCTCCATCACTCGTTCTTCCCTAGGCATTTCTATAGAGGAGACTGACAGCATGAGCAGCACAGCCTCTGGGTGCAGCAGATTTCATCACCTTGGAGCTTTCGCTGGGATCCTTCAGGAATCTACCTTCAGTGACTTGGAAATAGTATTAAATGGAATAACCAGGAATAATATAGCTGCTGAACACAGGGTAGGGCCAAAACGTGGAACTATGCTGAGCCCTGGGTACTGGGTAGAATGGCTGGCATTCTTCACAGACATGCCTAGTCTTGGTATTTAAACTGTGGCACTCAGGAGTTAATGATCTTCCTATGATAAAATGCCTTCTGCATTTTCATCCTCTCCGGAGACAAGAAACTGAAGAATGGACACCTGGTGCACACCCTGAGTTCCTAGTTCGCTGGTATAAAATGGCCAGGATGCTACAAAATCACCAGTCGGTAAACACGCACAGCTTTGCGTGCTGGCTGCTCCACTGTCTTCTGTCAGCTCCAAGTGGGAAAGCATGGCCACAGAGGGTGCTCCTTGAGGAGGAAGCAGCACTAAGAGTGCCCATATCAAGGTTAAGGGGAAAATATACCCAAAACACATTTTAGACAAGAAGAAAGTTAGAAAAGGGGAAGGTAGCTCTGACATTAGCCATTCAAAATCTACAGAAGAACATGGATGTCATAATGAATAATAGCTTGTTCATAAACAACTGACCTTAGGGAAGCCAACAGCTAAGGAAGTGTGTAGAGGGCAAACTGGAATCTGTCCTTGGGTGCTTGAGAAGTGGCTCGGAGGTTAAGAGCACTGGCAGCCCATCCAGAAGACCTGGGCTTGATTCACAGCACCCACATGGTGGGTCTTAACCATCTGTATCTCCAGGCCTGGGGGATCTGATACCCTCTTCTGGCCCCCTAGGCCACTAGGTACCTATGTGGTACATAGACATATATGCAGGCACAACACCCATACACATAAAATAATATTTTTTAAATTTGCTTTTAAATTTTCCTCTTGGACATACTTTATTCTCTAGACCCAAGAGTGTGAGATCTTACAACAAAACAGCTGAAGTGACTAGCAAGGGCAGTAAGAGAGAAGGCATGGGATGGAAGGCCCTTTGTTCTCCAGGAGCTCCTGCTTAAACATTCACAGGACCCCTCCTTTAACAGGAGCTGATGACAAGAGGAAACAAATCACAGCAGGGAAGTAAGGGGGGTGACCAGAGCTCTGAGGGCTGGGATTTAGATGACCTTCACTCTGCCTCAGCTTCCTTGGCTCTTGGAAAGGCTGGCATTGCATCACAAGCTAACTACAGCATCGATCACGTGATCACCTCCCTGGCTTCTTTCTTTCCACTGCTCAAGGTCCACAGAAGAAGAACCAGCTCATCTTCTGCATCAGGAAGGATGGAGGAAGTTGACTCTGGAGGGCAGGGTGAGGAGCAGGGAAGAAAGTTCCCCGTGTCTGCCCAGTTGTGCTCCAAATTTAAGCAGGGTTGTGGAAAAAGAAATCTGAACAAGACTCGGGCTAGTGACCAACTCCCTTCTGGGATCTGCAGGCTGATGTCATATTATTATGATATATTAATATGACATATTATGGCCAACACAAACCCTGCATTATCAGACAAATACTAAAATTCCCAAAAATGACCTGGATAAAGTATTACCAGTTGAGGGGCTCAGGATAAAGTTTAACTGGTGGCCAGGTGAGTTACATAGGCATACAAATTGCCCCCAGCATGAGTTACATAGTCTGGATTTGGTTTCAAAGCAGCTCCTATCAGTTTCCAAAACAGCTGCACTATTCTATTTAACAGCTTGGACTACAACGCCACATTTTCTGGACTCTAAGCATAATTCTTTTGTTGTTTATTTACTTTATGATTGGTCTAAGCTTTTCCCACAATCCTTACATCTCCTGCTCTCTAATATATTAAACATATTCACCCTAGAGTCACCTTTAATCATAGATTCGTACCTAAGAAAACAAACACAATTTCAGGCTTACCTTCAAATTCCTGATTTTTGCCACTTTGTCCTCAACTTCCACAATAATTCTTCCCCCTTCTTTGGCCTCGCTAAGAAATGAGAACAGAATTCCAATGAGAAGAAATACTTTTTGTTTTCTTTTCTGAGACAGAATCTTAAGTAGCCCAGGCTGCTTAAATCTACTCTCTAGCCAAAAATGACTGAGCTTCTGATCCTCCTGTCTCTTCTTCCTAAATGCTAGAATTACAGACATGTGCCACCACATCTGCTGCCCACTTTAACACACACACACACACACACACACACACACACACACCCCAGAAACAAAAACAGAAAAGACAAAAAGAAATTAGTTTTCTCACTCCTGTCCCTGTTCCAGGAAGTGCAATGCCTGTCTCCATAAATAGCCAAAAGCACGTGAAGACTCCCTTGAGGGGACACTTTCCTGATCAGACACTTTGACTCCGGAAGCACTAACTGTCACCACCATTTATTTCGGTGATAATGTATAAAGCACCATATTGTGTATGGATACTGTAATTTCCCTACCCACCCTACTCTCCTGATACCACTTCATAGCATGTCTTCATTCTGACAGAATTTTAAAGCCTAGAGAAATTGCATAACTAATCCAAGGCCACCCAGCCAGGACCAGTAACTGAGATTTAAGTGCAGATCTGTCTGATCCTTAACTATAGCTTTAAAATAAGGCTTGGAAATTATCTTTGGTCCAGTGCAAGACACAATTTCTCACCGTCTCTGAACCACTGTACAAAGTACTGATGAGAACACTGCAGTCCTCTCTGCTGAAATGTTGGGCGTACTTCTGAAGTTGGAGAAAGCCAAGGTACTTAGAAATCCTCCTACACTGTCCGTACGTGGTAACACTGCTAGCAACTAGCCCACCTTTACATTCACTATAAACTTCTTCTTGCAGTGCTGGGGATTTAAACTTACTCATTTTAATAGGCTTTTTTAATAGGCTTATTATGGTGATCCATGCATCTGAAGCCCACTCTTTTCATAACAAAAACCTCTGGCTAGGACAAGATGGCTCATCAACTGAAGGCGCATCAACTTGGTGTATCTGGAATAAAGTCCTAGATAAAACTTCGCTCTAGCTGGGCAGTGGTGACACATGCTTTAATCCCGGCACTTCAGAGGCAGAAGCAGGTGGATCTCTGTGAGTTGAGGGCCAGCCTGGGCTACAGAGGTAGTTCCAGGACAGCCAGGGCAATACAGAGAAACCCTGTCTTGAAAAAACAAAAAACAAGACAAAACAAACAAAAAATAACTAGCTAAGTAGCATCTTTGTTAGTTGAACTTAAGTTTCTGTTGTTTCTTTCCCCTTAAGGCTTTACTGTACTTTCTTATCCACTATACAGAAGACAGTACACGAGAGAGGTATTCTTTTGTGGTGGAGGCGATCAAACCCATTGTCTTATACATCTAGGCAAGTGCTTTATCACCCAGTCACACACCCCCAAGTACAGAGATATTCCCAACTCCCAGGATCATCAGTCCACAGGTAGGTGAAATTTTCCTACCTCCTCTGCTCACCTACAGACATGTTGGCATTAAATTTTAAAGAGGGCAGAAAGGACATCAATCTCAAGGAAGAAGCTGGCTTCAGCTGGGTGGCACACACCTTTAATCCTAGCACTCAGGAGGCAGAGGCAGGTAGATTTCTGAGTTCAAGACCAGCCAGAGAGTGTTCCAGGACAGCCAGGGCTACACAGAGAAACCCTGTCTCAGAAAACAAACAAAAATCAAAAACAACAACAACAACAAAAAGAAGCTGGCTTCAAACGGTTCAAACCAGTCCTACTAAGGAAAAGCCCTAAGCAAGGCAAAGCAGTCACTATTACTAGCTGCCAGAGCCCATCAGCAGAATCCATCTTTAGCATCAAAGACTTTGAATAGAAGTAAGTCTACAGGCTGCCTACATCAGAATTAAGAAGAATACAAGAAGGCTGAGTTAATTCAAATGTTTAGAGGAGTAGAGCAGATGATAACCAGCTTCTGGGGGGCAGGGATTTTATGTGTGCTGTAATTTGAAAACCACTGTTCTAGAGGGGAATTTAACCAAGCTACACATTTGTATTTATTCCTTTTTTAAAACTCAAAAAAGGAACAAACGAAAAGAGGCCAGAAGAACAAAAACGATCACTAAAAATATGATTAACACCTGATTAGACATGAAATGGTAACAGGTGATATGATCAAAGTTCATTATCTACATATGTGCAAATGTCATAATAAAGCCCATTATTTTGTACAACAAAGACATGTATGTACATGTAAAATGTATTATAAAAAGACTGACATGGAGACAGGTGGTGTGGGATACACTTTTAACCCCAGCACTCAGGGGGCAGTGGTCGGCAGATCTTTATGAGTTTGCCACCAGCCTGGTCTACAAAGGGAGTTCCAGGACAGCCAGGGCTACATAGAAAAACCCTGTCTCAGAAAAAAAGAGAAAAGAAGATTGACGTGATTATCATTTTAGTCTATTTTATAGATCAAAAACCAAAACCAAAAAGTGGAAAAAATTAAGGTACCAGGTGAAAGTAGAGGGCAGTGGGGCAGAGCTCAGTGGGGCAGGTGTTTTCTCCAGTGGCGAATGACTCTGGACAGGCAATGGCAGCATCTCTAACCAACAAACAGAATTTCTGATTATGGGAAACATCTGAGGTCAAGGGGAGGACTCCAAAATCACTTCTGTGTTATTTCATCCAGCATTTTCTCTAGTCCTATAGAACACAGGAACAATTTTGAGCATCTTGGGAAGGAGCAGTGTGGTTTAGTGAATCAAATCCTGCTTCTAGAACTTAAGCAAGACCATGTTCTCATTTGGAGAAAAATAATGTAAGCTTGGGCTAGATGACTTTAATGGTTCCTTCTCAAGCACAGTTGTCAGTCCTGATAACTTATCTGTAAGTTGGGACAGACGACACAGTCAGCAGACTGTGCAAAACAGTCTGCATGCAAAACAGCGTCAATAAGCAGTGGGTACCACCACCATCTCTGCAGAATTCTGTGGGAATTGGAGAATGGTCTAGTCTAAACGTCTTAGCTGAGATCACACTAATTTTTTACAAAACTACTCCTGAATCAGTGACTGTGGATCTGCAGCCTGCTAAAAATCAGCTCACACCTGGAGACCAGGAGGCTTGATGATCTAATCTACCACTTACTCTCAAGCCTCTTCACTGGAGCTGAAAGTAAATAAGTTCCCTGATTGTTTTTCATTTTTGTTGGATGAGATATGTTATTCTCGGCAACGACTGCAAGTAACAAAGGGTTTCAACATCCTTTTCTTAATCTAATCCATGCTATTTGAAACTCCTGGTTTCCAAGGAACTAAAAAGTTAAAAGTGGTCAATACTGCTATCCTAAGAACCCTAAAAATTAGTTTAGAAAGAATGAAATCTACCAGCAGTTATCTCCTCCTGGAAAGCTGCTCCCTGGAAGCCTCCAACCCTGAGTCACTGTGTGTAGTTATGCAAACCCAGATGTTTAAAAACCAATTGTCCTGGCTGTCCTGGAACTTACGCTGATAGACCGGGCTGGCCTTCAACACAGAGTGGTTCACCTGCCTCTGCCTCCTGAGTGCTGGAATTAAAGGCATTTGCCAACAACACTGGCATGGGTATATTTTCTTATGTCTTCCTCCTATATCATGGTTCTCATTCTGTCAAAACTTTTCAAAGCAAATGACCTCTACAAGGACAAAACTAACACCCCATGATACTATTTCTGTCATAGGAGACAAAGCCATTCTTGACCTCTGTGTACTGGACATTGAAGATTTTTTTCTACAATAAATCCCAAGATATGTGATCTGGTATAGAACCACACTCTGCCAATTTTCTCGCCCATCACACTCTGCGTCTATCCACCCATGTGTCCAAGGCTCCCATCTACACCCTAACAGCCTAAATTTACTTTCTCTTCCTGCTCTTACTTTAGAGAGCTCTGCACTTTCCCCTGCCTGTCAGAAAACTCAAAGATCTTTCAGAGCAGTTCAGTCATCAACCCTTGTGCAAAGCCTTCTTTGACTTCCCCAGTGGGAGAGGATGAAATGTTCAGTTCCACAATGGTTGCCTCAAGGGCTGAGAGGTGTGGAATGAGGCGCAGGCACAAGGAACTGGCACTAAGGAGCAACTTCCCCTTCCCATGTCCCAGTTCTGTTCTTAAATCACGTCAGCTGTTGAGCACAGATTGAAATCACATTCTCTCTCTGGGCCTCAATTTCCCTCCCATATCCCGACAATCCTTTTTCCTAAGTCCCCACAGAGGAATCCCATGTATATGTATATGAACACACCTTTCAGTCCTCTCGGGTCCTCCTGGGTCACCATGAGGAGTGGAGACTGCCCACCTCTTTGCACCTCCTCACGTCATGATGCACGAGAAAGGCCCTACTAAGTGCACCAAGACCCGAGCCAGGCTCCCAAGAAACTCTTGTTGGCAAGATGCCAGGGACGTGTAGACAGGGCAGCGACCTCTGGAGGGAGGCACACAGGAACCGCCATCTCCTAGTTCGTGACGGGAAAGCTCGACTTGAAGCCCTGTCCCTCCGGGCTTTCATGGCTTCTGGACCCTGAGCCCTCAGGCCACTGTGAGTCTGATTTTTCTCCAGGCCAGTCCACCGAGAGAAAGGCGCCTTCTCGCTCTCCTCTCAGTTCACTTGACGCCTCAGGCGCCCCCTCCTGCCAGACTCACCGCTTGCTGAGAGGCCAGACCCTCACGGCCACCTGCACATTCGCCATCCCGCCGCCACAGCGGCCCGGCGGAAGCATCCCTGGCCGGCGTCCAGCGAACAGACCCAGCCCCGGGCACAGCAACCACAAACTGCCCCGCCCGCCCCACGTGCCTCCTGGCTGCAGCCCCGGCTCCGCCCTAGGGGGCGGGGCCCTCTGAGCCTCGACCAATCCTGATGAGGGTGGGCGGGAGGATGTGCGGGCCGCTCCGCCTCTCTCCCGCCCAAGTGCGAGCCACCGCCCGACATGGGCGGAGCTTCCCAGCCTTGGCCAATCCTGAGACGGGGGGTGCGCTTCCTCGCCTCGCTCCACCCTCTCCACCGCCCCGGACAGCCCTGCCCAAGTATGAGCCTGACAGGGGCGGACCCCGCAGCCTCCAGCCAATACTGAGAGAGGTGGGCCGGGCCACCAGGTCTCGTGCCTCCTTAGACGCCCCTTGCGTGCTGAGCCACCCACTTTGTTCTAAGATTTGTTGGGAAAGTTTTTTGTTAATACTCGAAAGTTCATTAAGTAAATTGCTAAATATGCTAAATATTGTTCTTACCCTATTGGTCTGAGATAGCAAAACTGCTGCTCTTGTAAACCAGGTTGGCCTCAGTCTCACAGAGATCCGCCTGCCTCTGCCTCTGCCTCCTGAGTGCTGGGATTAAAGCCCTGAGCCACCACTGACCCGGTTTGTTGTTGTTGTTCTTTTAAAAAAAAATGCATAGCTCAGGCTGGCCTCGAACTCCTGATTCGTCTGCCTCTGCCTCCTTCAACAAAGCCTACTGGTGTGCGCCACCACAATTGGCAATAAATTGCAAGTTTTAAAGATTACACAAAGCTTAAAATTTAAGTAAGGTTTAAAGGATATATAAAAATGTGAGCTGGTTTATTTATTGTTCTTTTTTGAATTTCTTTTTACTCTCTGAAGTGTTCATAGAAATATACAGTGTATTTAATCCTAGCCTCCCACTGCCTCCTCCACTTCTGTCTGACCTCCCCAATATCTGTTTCCCCTTAAGCCCTCTTTAAAAAAAAATCCACTGTATCCAATTAGTGCTGTCCTTGTGTGCTTGACTTTGGGTTATCCATTGGTGTGTGAGGAATCTGCCAATGGCCACCCCTCAAAGAAGAGTGAGTTTTTCTCCTGTGTCAGCCATCAACTACTAGTAGGTCCTTGGGCGGGGTGGGGCCCTTAAGAGCCCCTCTTTACTCCATCCTGAAAATTTTAACTGAACTGATCTTGTCAAGTCCTGCACAGGTTCTGTGACAGTCATGTCCTGTTCAGAGGGCAGCATTCCTCCCCATCCCCTGGCTTTGACATTCTTTCTTCCCCTTTTCCACCTTATTCCCCGAGCCTTGGGGTGAAGAATGGCCCAGATGGCCCATCTACAGCTGAGTGCTCGTAGTCACTGTCAGAACTTGCAAACAGTTAAGAGTCTCTACATTAACTGGTTGAGAGTAGTACAGCCTGGGTTTTAAGGCCATGTGGGGCAACTGGAGGGTCCCTATTGCAGACAGCACTGAAATCTGTGGAGTCCGAAAGGTAAGGAAGATCTCTGTACCAGCAGAGGATTCTGATTTGTGAGTCTACTCCTAAATAAATAAACGTCAATTTCTTAGTTTTGAGCTAGTGTGGGATTTCTTTTAAGCGTCCTTCCACATAACTGAGACCTTTTTCACATATTTTTTTTTTTTTTCGAGACAGGGTTTCTCTGTAGCTTTGTTACCCGTCCTGGAACTAGCTCTTGTAAACCAGGCTGGCCTCAAACTCCCAGAGATCCGCCTGCCTCTGCCTCCCGAGTGCTGGGATTAAAGGCATGCGCCACCACCGCCGGCTTTTCACATAAATTTTTAATCTTTTACTCAGTTTATGTGGTAAAAGATTAATTCTAAGATCATGTCTTCTCTCTACATTAAAATTCCTGCAGTGGAATGTTAGGAGGGTAACATGACCAAAATGCAGTTAAGACTCAGATCTACATAATCCACATGTGCCTTCTGTAATTTCTCTTTGATCAAAGCCAATTCTCTATTCCAGCTGACAATCCTCTGGGACTGTTTAAGTCCTTGTCACCAGCTAAGATTTTGTTTAAATTAATCAGATCATCAGGTTTTATCCCAATAGTGTGCCATAGAAGGTAAATGTCCCCTAGCAATCTTTGGAAGCCATTAAGAGTCTGCCATCAGTCTCTCCTAATTTGCACCTTTGGGGATCTAATTTTTGTAAACCTATTTCATAACCTAAATAATTAATATAATCTTCTCTTTGTATTTTTAAGAGCTATTTGTAATTCCCAACAAGGCAAAATTTTCTTTAATTCTTTAAACATTCTTTCTAAAGTATCTACATTTGAATTGGATAATAAATATCATCCATGTAATGGTAAACTATAAATTCAGGAAATGACTTACATATCATTTCCAATGATTGACTTACAGAATACTGGGACAGGGTAGGGCTACTTAACATTCCTGTGAGTGAATCTTCCATTGATATCTCTTAGCAGGCTAAGATTATAAGTAGGCATTGTGAGGGCAATTTTTTTTCTGTTTTTTTCTTGTAAAGGTATAGTAAGGAAACAATCTTTTAAATCAAGAACTATAAGAGTTCTCTATTACCATCCTTTAGGTCATAGAGAAGGCAAAAGACTGCAGAAAGCCTATTGGCTGAATCACCTAATTAACAGATCTGTTACCAATCTCCATTTTCCAATTTTTTTTTTTTTTTTTAAATAACAAGTTCAGGAGAATTTCAAGGGCTGGTTGATTCTTCAAAATGCTGAGCATGTAGTTGCTCCTGTACCAGCTCTTCTAAAGCCTGCAGTTCCTCTGTTGTTAAAGGCCATTGTGCAAACCATACAGGTTTGTCTGTCAAGCATTTTAAAGGTAGGGCTGTTGGTGCCTTTGGAAGACCAGCAGTTATTATGCACTGTTCTTGTACAATCTGAATTGTCAGTGACTATTCTCTTTAATACCTCTAATATTTTCCTCAGAAACATACGTTAATTTTTGTTTTGTTTCTAAGATTGGAGAATGTTAATCTGAGCATGCCACTGCTGTAACAAATCACGTCCCCACAAATCATTGCTATGTTAGCCACATGTGGTTTTAATGTTCCTCTCTGTCCTTCTAGTCCCATTCAGCCCATCTCATGCTCTACTTTACTTGAGATAAAGTTCTGATCCCTAAGCACTGAACAATAGGGCATAGCAATAGGGAGGCATAGGCAGATGGATCTCTGTGAGTGTGAGGACTACAAGAGCTAGTTCCAGGACAGGCACCAAAGCTACAGAGAAACCCTGTCTTAAAAGGAAAAACGAAAGAAAGGAAGGCAGGAAGAAAGAATTAGGCAATGTTCCTTTTGTTTCTATTTTGTGGAATAATGTGAGGAGTATTGGTATTAATTCTTCTTTGATAGTCTGATAGAAGTCTGTGCTAAAACCATCTGCTTTTTTTTTTTTTTTGGTCGGGAGACTTAATTGCTGTTTCTATGTAACTAAGTGTTATAGATCTGCTTAAATTGCTTATCTAATCTTGATTTAACTTTGTGTTACATGGGTCAGAGGATCACTCCAAAACATAATTCAGGTTTAGCAACAGCAGCAGGGGAACCAGCTTTGGTGAACTAACTGATTGGTGGCTTCTCACATATAAAAAAACACCTTTTGCAAGTCAATTTCCGCATACCAAAACCTCCTTTCTGGAGTTACTTAAAGGAATCCTTTGCCTAATTAGGTCTCAGGTTCTCTCAAGACTAAGTTATGCAAAGGCTCTGGAATTCCTTCAAAAGAGCAACTCAGACAACAACCCCTGACTTGTGCTAGCACTCTGGAATTTAAGCCACCTGCAATGGCTCTGTGGAATCTCATGCTACATTCGATAGATGGTGTATATCAAGAAAATTATCCATTTCTTTTAGAGTTTCCACTTTGGCGGAGTACTAGTTTTTAAAGTCTGCCCTTTATGATTCTCCGAATTTCCTCAGTGTCTGTTGTTATGCCCCCCTTTTCACCTCTAGTTTTGTTAATTTGGATTTCTCTCCCTGCCTTTTAGTTAATTGGATTTCAAGTTTGTCAATCTTATTGATTTTTCTCAAAGAACCAAATATTTGTTCCATTGATTCTTTGTACTGTTTGTTTGTTTGTCTCTACTAATAACTAATAAGCTTCTCCCCTGAGTTTGATTATTTCTTGCCATTTATTCCTTTGGGGCATTATTTCTTCTTTTTGTCCTAGAGCCTTCCTGTGTGGGTTAAGTTACTAGGATGAGATCTCTCCAGTGTTTTATGTGGGCCCTTAGCACTATGAACTTGCCTCTTAGAATTGTCTTCATTGTATCCCATATTTTTTAGGATGTTGTGTTTTATTTTCATTCAGTTTTAGAAAGTTTTACATTTCTTTCATAACTTCTGTCCTGACCCATTTTTCATTCAGTAGCAATTTGCTCCATTTTCACGAGTTTGTACGCATTCTGTTGTTCCTGTTGTTGACATCCCAGCTTCAATTCGTGATTGTCAGAAAGGATTCAGTGAGTTATTTCAATGGAGGCCCTTCTTTCATTTTTAATATTTAAGCTTATATTTTTGTGATACCTTTCAAGCTACATGACTTTTAAAGTGTCAAAATTCAGTATTGATCTTTTTGGTTGGCCAGTGAATGATGAGAGGGATATTGTGACTAACTTTGATCTATAAAGTCATTATATTGAAATCTTTTATTTTATTTTATGGGGAAACAGCACCTAATCCTAATTGATGAAGTCATCAACACACCAGGAGTAGTGGCCAGGTTTGTGGAGTTCCTGAAGAGAAAATTGTACACTGCAGGTGCAGATATTTTCATTTCTTTTTTTTTTTTAAATTTAATTTTATTATATATAGTGTTCTGTCTACATGTTTGCCTGAACAATAGAATAGGGCACCAGATCTCATTACAGGCGGTTGTGAGTCACCATGTGGTTGCTGGGAGGTGAACTCATAACCTCTGGAAGAGCAGCCAATGCTTTTAACCTCCGAACCATCTCTCCAGCCCTTGCCACCACTCCCCAATTTGTTTGTTTGTTTGTTTGTTTGTTTATTTATTTATTTTTTCGAGACAGGGTTTCTCTGTAGCTTTGAAGCCTGTCCTGGAACTAGCTCTTGTAGACCAGGCTGGTCTCGAACTCACAAAGATTCACCTGTCTCTGCCTCCCGAGTGCTGGGATTAAAGGTGTGTGTCACCACCGTCCAGCTGTTACTTTCATTTCTTGCCTTAGATATTTGTTCTTGAAAACTTATTATGAGTTACTAATCTATATGAAGGCTTGTTTGTTTATAATGGTATCGGTGATAACTACCTTGTAAACTGCTTGTGTAGGTTTGTTAACATGTAGGGATCCTGATCAATATTTGCTAGAATTTGTGTCTTATTTGAATTTTTAGCAGTAGGAGTTGTCATAACCAGGAACCGATGCAAGTTATGAGAAGTTTCTTGTGTGTGTATGTGTGTGGGGGGGGGTATTAGACTACTTGTTCCCAAGATGGTGTATATAACATGGACTGGCCTAGAAACTCAATATTCAGATCTGGTCTTACTAAACCACAAGAAAACTTTGTCATAACTTTGATTTTCTACTAATGGACTATACAAAGAGTTTACCACCTTATGATTGAATATTTTTTTATTATTTTTTAGTGTTAATTTCTAACTTCTTTATTTATCTTTATTTTTATGTGCATTGGTGTTTTGCCAGAACTGTTGGGTCCCCTGGAACGGGAGTTACAGACAGTTGTGAGCTGCCATATGGGTGCTGGGAATTTTGAACCCTGTTCCTCTGGAAGAACAGTCAGTGGTTTAACTACTGAGCTATCTCTCCAGCCCCCTAGGATTGAATAATTTTTACAGTAAGAGGAGCCAGCTGTCAAACTCACAGCCTTTGAGTATCTGGAATTCTAAAAATACTACCTTTTCCCCCTGGGTAAAGTTCAACTTTTTCTACTAATTGATTGTTCATTAGCAGATTCCTTTAATATCTGAATTATTAACAAATACCTAGAATCCATAAATTCTCACCAACATCTTTTATGTAATGTGAAGGGCTCAGGTCTTTTAGAGGTAACTTGTAGCTATAAAATTTGGTTAAATTGCAAGTAGATCACAAGATGGGAGAAATACTTGCCAATCATAAGGCAATTCCTGCCTCCTTTGTTACTCTTGACCGAGGCATTTCATAAATGGCAATTCCTGTCTCAGGCTCCTTATTGCAGATGATTTGTGAGTCTTAATGCTTTGTCTTAGTATTTTTTCTCCTCCTGCTACAACTTTCTCTTTAATCTTACATCTTTATTGTGGTGATGTATGTCTTCCAGAGGAGAAGGAGGAAATCCAGCAAAAGTAGAGTACTTCTCTGTCCCAGCAGTTTTCTTCTCCAGTTTGACCTTTGCCTGTGTCTTCCCACAGGTCAGGGAACCCTGATTGCTCTTTGAGCAGATGAGGGAGGGGGACTTGATCGGGGGAGGGGGAGGGAAATGGGAAGCGGTTGTGGGGACAAGGCAGAAATCCTTAATAAATAAATAAATAAATAAATAAAAAAGATTCTGTCTTGCTTGCTGCCTCCTGGATTATTGTAATTCTGGTCTCCATTTAAGTCCAGAATCAACAGACAGTTGAAAAGTTATATTTACTCTGAGAGCAAGGAAAGAGAGAGTTTTCTCAGGAGAAAGGGAAATCCAGATGACCAATACTGCAGAGCACAGAGCCTGAGCCCCTAAGCGACTGTTTGTGTGGTTGAGGGGCAGCAGTTCTACCCTCAGGGAGGCAGTTTTAAATTAGGGACCTATAGAGGTCTACTCTCTTATGCACTAAAGAAATAAAGCAGAGGGGCTGGAGAGATGGCTCAGTGGTTAAGAGCACTGACTGCTCTTCCAGAGGACCAGGGTTCAATTCCCAGCACCCACATGGCAGCTCCCAACTGTCTGAAGATCCAGTTGCAGGGGATTTGACACCTTCACACCAATGCACATAAAATAAAATTAAATAAACCCTAAAAATATTAAAAAAGAAATAAAGCAGAAGCTTCCAGAATTAAAATGAAAACTCTTGAGAAATGAATTTTGTCTCTATACTCTTAGTAGTCTTGTCTATAAGCAGTATAGTATGTTCATATACAATGCCCTTTTCTGACTGACACATAAAATTCATATTATTTTGTGATTCATTATCTGTTAGAACTTAGGTGAAGCCTTCAAAATCTCTGATTTGCTTTTATCTAAATTTCTAGATTCCACCCTTGTCCAGACTGGTAATTGAGATGAAAGACTGAAAAATGATTTCTCTGAAGTGACCCTTCATGAATTATATACCTCAGTTATATAAGAGTGAGGGTCGTTGTCTCCAGCTTTCCTTCTGCATGTGACATACAGTGTGGCATTGTCTCTCCAGTCTGAGTGTTGGGTGACATCGATCACCTCCAAAGCAGTTAAAAACAATTATGTTTAGGGAGGAGCCAGGGACA